CCAGAATTCCCCAGCCAGCTGGCTGGGGAATTCTGGGAGTTGAAGTCCGGACATCTTCAAGTGGCCAAGGTTGAGAAACACTATGTTAAGGGACTTCCGTGCAATGGTTAGGTGTGATGTCACGTGATTGCTCTGCTGCAATTGCTGTCATAAAACAGTAGTGTCACATGACATCATGCTTTGTGACTGCAACACTTAGCAACAGAGTTCTTGGCCTGAATTACCGTAACACATTCCGCTCTTAATCATTCTCCTGCCGGTGGGAAAAGTTGCTATCTGCAATCACAACATGTTCAGTAGGAGAAGTAAGTATTATCCGCCATTTAAAAAAAACCAACAACCCTTACCTTCCTTGCAGAGACCAAAGTCAGCTATTTTAACAAAGCCTTCAGTATCCAGCAACAGGTTATCCAGCTTTAGATCTCTACCAAAGAAATAAAAGTTTTTTTAAAAAAATTAGTAAAACAACGAAAATAACAGCCCAACTATGTAATTGCTAAGCTATAGAGCTTCGTTCTCCAGGCCGGGTCCCATGACCCATGGAATGGAGAATCCCAGAATTCTCAGCAATAGCCACGTTGACTGTAATTAAAGTCTACCAATTTGGAAGTTACCCAATCTGCTGAATGCTATTTTAGAAGGAGTGCCACTTACAAATATTTACTAATTGTTAATGTTTCCTTTTTTCCCCCAATCTGAACAAAACTTAATAATGTACAAACATCCAATAGTATGAATTTCTTCTAGAAAAGAAAAGGAACTATTTTATCAATCATAATGACAGCAGCATTTAAGCCACGTTCACAAACATTAGCAGAACATAAAATGAATTGGAACACCACATCTTTGAAATACTTACCTGTAAACTATCCTATGCTCATGTAAATATTGCAGGCCAAGAACTACACATGCAGCATAAAATCTGTTTGGAGAGAAATACAATGTTTCAGTGCTCATCAATTTTGCACATTTATTTATATTACAAAGAATAACATTTCCATTATACTTCTTGTGGGTAAATTCTGGACACAAAATTTGTGCTACTAGTCCGATCCTGACTCTCATCTAAAGGAAATGCCGCCTTGCCTTCCAGGATCCCATCACAAAAGACCCAATTGAGTTCTGGCATTGTCTTCTTGAGCTGCAGTAAATATGATGGTCTGGCTGTTTTTACTTTTCTGGGATTTCATCAGGACTGTGGCATAACAGCCTCCAGAAATGCCCACAAGAGCAACGCTTAATGCTCTGCAAGTTTTTTCAGCTAGTCAAGAGGGGCTTCTGACTTTGACAGAAGTAATGCTAGTTCCAACATTCTGCGGTCTGTAAAAAAAAGGAAAATTATATAATACTAGCTGGACACCTGGAAACTATGTGATCGAGCTTGAGAAATTGGATACTTAAAGCTTGAAAATTAATGAGTAGTTATGATTGGGCTTCCCTTACTGTGTTTTCCTAACTGCATCTGTAAATCTTTTCCTGCATTTCCCCCCCTCTTTTCTCTTTAACAGTAGAAGGGACGAATTCGTCAGAACTGAGGTGGTCAGTGTAAGAAATGAGTTGGGGCTGGGGCACTATGAAGGAGACCTTTGGTTCACAATCTGTTGGCTTAGTGGTGGTTGGTGATTGAAATTCATAAGTGAGTACCTCTCCCATCGCCGTGAGTTTGGAAGCAGTTCCATAGGTGGAAGGCGTAGACATTTTGGTGAAGTACTGGCATATAGTACTGTTAAGGAGCTCCAGGCTGCTCCTGAGTGAAGGAGTGGAACATTTGCTAGTTTGAACTGTGGTAACAGAATGTGAGGCACCTAGCAGTTGGAACAGAGGTCTTTTCAGGTGGGGAGGGGAAGTACACTGTCTAACTCCTTAGCATCAGAGCGTGTTAATAGAAGGCAAC